TTGGCCTAACTGTCTTGTAATTCTGGGATCTTTCATTAGGTCCTGCTAACCAGGTCATTTTGAAATAGGAATAAATTTCCTGAGTGAGTCACATTCGTTTTGATTCACCGCCGCCACCACAACCATAGGCCAACATGTTAAAAATTAGATATTTTATGAGCTGAAAGAACTTTCTGTGTCACTAAACCGGCAAGGTTAATGAGCAGAAGGAGTGATCCGGATATGCAGGAAATCTGTTACTCTGTTTCACTATACAAACAAATCCTAGAGTTCTAAAGGCTGGATGATATATAATGACTGTCAGGTTTGGTGGAAGATTATAATATTGGTGGTGAAATGCTATGTTTACTGCATGTAATAGCATGTTGTTGGTCAGGAAATTATTTCCTATGCTTATAGCCCTAAGCATTTTAAGCAGATTCAGCTTTTCCACTCTGCTGTAGCTTTCAAGTGAATTGTCATGTTAAAGTAGGTTTTCTATAAGATTTGAGAAGCAGTTATTCATTGTAATTTAATCTAAAGACATAGTGGAATAAGTCATGATGATTATAGTAAAAGGGCAGGATACATAGGAACAAATACTTCATCTGAATCAGCGTTGTTCTGATTTTTATTTACCCTTTCTTTTTTGTGGAATCAGGCATAGGAAAACATTGCTAGTATAACAACAAATAGCAAAGTATAAACTGTTTTTTAAAATCATAAATGTTTTACTCTAGAAATACATTGAATATTTAGGATTTAACCTGCAAGAATTTGTTGTTGCTAACTTAAAACTAAGTATGGACTGTAATGTTCAAGTGGTTGAAGCATTTGGGAAGCTGTTTGTGGAAAATGTGGGAGGTAAAATTTGATGGGAATCTCCCCCTCGTTCCCCCAGTTCAGAGTTCATAATGCCATGGGGTAGAGCAAATGCCATTGGACAGTTGCTCTGCCCCATGGCATTCATGTCATGGGGTTCCTCAGGGCTCGATACTGTCCCCCATGCTGTTTAACATCTACATGAAACCTCTGGGAGAGGTCATCAGGAGGTTTGGGATGAGGAGTCAGCAATATGCTGACGACACTCAGCTCTACCTCTCGTTTTCCACCAATCCAGGTGAGGCGGTTTCTGTGCTGAACTTGTGTCTGGACCTGATAATGGACTGGATGAGGGTTAATAAATTGAAACTCAATCCAGTCAAGATGGAAGAGCTGTTAGTAGTTGCTTTGTCAGACAGTCTGGAGGGCCATTTCCCTGCCCTGAATAGGGTTACACTCCCTCTAAGGGACAGGGTCTGCAGCCTGGGGGTGCTCCTGGACCCCAGTCTAACTCTGGAAGCCCAGGTGGACTCAGTGGCCAGGGGCGTCTTCCTGCAGCTGTGGAAATTGTACCAGCTATGGCCCACCCTGGACGACCGGAGTCTCATGACAGCTACACACGCACTGGTAACATCTCGTATAGATTTTTGGAATGCGCTCTACGTGGAGCTGCGTTTGAAAATGGTCCGGCGACTGCAACTGGTCCAGAATCGAGCTGCGCGGCTGGTGAGTGGTGGGGCCGCTAGAGAACACATCAAGCTGACTCTGTTTAAGTTATATTGGTTACCAGTTGCTGCCCGGGCCCAATTCAAAGTGCTTGTTTTGACATATAAAGCCCTAAACAGCTTGGGCCCTGGATACCTGAAGGACCACCTCCTTCCATATGAACCTACCCGGCAGTTAAAATCTAGCCAGGGGACCCTTTTGAAAGAGCCGTCCCTCAAGGATAAATAGGAGAGTATTTCCCCCATGCATTCTTCCTAATTTGACTTGGTTTGCTCCCTGTGGGTTAAATGCAACTTTGGATCTGTGCTTCTTCATAGCCGTGATTGTAGAAATGGCTGGAGGCTTTATTTATGAGTCTCATAATTCCTAATGTGCTACCACATACTGTATATGGAATTGATTATGGCGGAAGGGAAAGGCCCCATGCAATTGTGTGAAAAATCATTTTCAGTTGGTTCAGCTGCTTTGAAATTGGAGCAGAACTAGCTGATAGGTTGTTTGTTTTCATCCTTGTATGATCTGATCTATAACCACTACTGCATCACATCTGTAGTCTGTTTGTGTGCTAGTAATTTAATAATATGGTGAAAGGACATTATGGAATTGACCCCAGGCACTGGTACCATAGGACATTTGCAAAAGTAGCCCAAACATCTGGTGACCCACTGTTAAGCCATGGAGCCACTCCCTGATCTTGCCATTTGCCCTTTTTATTGTTGCTTCTTGACCTGCCCTGTTTGAACTAAGGAACAGTGGCAGGAAAGAGGAAAAGGAAAAACCACTTTTCTCTCATATCCCCTTTTCTTTTGGACTGTGCAGGTTAGCCCCAAGAGAAGAGCATAAGCAGACAGGTAGCCATGATTGTGGTGATGAAGAAGCAGTTTCAGAGAAGAAACTAGAGTCCACTAACATACCTTTCCCAGATGCCCTGAAAAGCTGGAGATGGCAGTGTGGAATGTTGAAAACTTATGACTTCACCTGTCAGTTTCATAGTGTTACTAATGTATTATTGAAATTTACAAATTATTGTTGTCATGGAATAGTACTTCCACTTCAACTACAAACTTTTAAGATTTAGTACAATAGTAACTTCTGAAGTGTAGTTTAAAAAAGCAGTGATGCATGGTAGTGTAAAAGATTGTAAAAGTATGAGGGAACATGCTACATGAGAGAATAATAAATTTAGATATTCAGCAAGGATCTGGCATAATTTAGTTCAAGCAAAACACTTTCAAGTTGCAGCAGTTTCAGTGGAAAAGATTTAATGCTGCACTTCCTACATTGAAATGAAAGGGGCCCTAAAATGCTTGATTGGGTTGTATTTGTACCTTGTTTTTTTTTTTAAGTAATGTATATTGCTTAATACAGAGTGTTAATTCCCTGGAGGAGCTTATATAACTGAGGCACTTAACAGGGTTTGAAGTTAAATATGGTATAGACAAAAATGACATAGACACTAATTGTATAAAGTTCCTTTTCTTTCCTTCTTTTTTAAAGAATTGTTTTCTTTTGGTACATATACAGAGTTTAGAGAAGTTCCTTTTTTGCATTGCAGTCTACCAGAAACCACCTGCTTGGCTGGGAGATCTACTTTTTAAAAAGTAGAAGGTGCTCGGTTTTTTTTAAAAATCTTTATCCCACATATAAACACATTCAGCACAAAAGTCTATTGTATTGAATGGGAGATCATGTGCCCCTTCCATATTTTCATCTAGCCTTCCCTTTTGCCTGCATATGTGTTACGGCTGCTGTACAGTACAAGTAACTTGCAGCTGATGAGGTGTGAGAGTGCACACAGATTCCGTATTCTAGATCAATGGCCCCCAATCTTTTTAGCCCCACAGACAAGCTGGGGAAGGCAGAGCACCCCTGCACTTGTGCGCATGTGGATGTGCATGCTTGTGCGCATGTGCATGTGTGTGCTTGTGCACATGCACAAATGGTGGCACAGCACTCTTGTGGCCATTTGCGCTCTTGCATGCAGGTGCAAACAGGCTGTGCGGGGGTGAATGTGTGTGGGGCGGAGCGGAAGGTATTTCTCCACGGCCTGGTCTGGCTCAGGCCACAGACAGGCACCAAGCCGTGGACTGGGGGTTGGGGACCTCTGTTCTAAATGCTGTAGAGATAGATGTGAGATTTTTTAAAAAAAATACTTAAATTATTTTTCTTTCTTTGCATCCCTCCTCTCCATCTATTAATTCTAGTGTCGATTTGTTTCTTTGTCTCTGAGTAAGAGTATTTTATTTATTAATTAATTTTATTTATTTATTTATACCCCGCCTATCTGGTCATTGTGACCACTCTGCAGTATGATTACATATAGCAAAAAAACTGTATAAGAATTGGGTTTAGCATGTTTGAAATCGGTTTTTTAAAAGATGGCTGCTAAAACCACATGAAAGCATGGATTTTTTTTATTTTTATTTTTTGCTTCGGAAGCATGTTTTTGGTTGGAAAGTGGGGTTTGTTACTTGGCTGTGAGAGAGTAGTTTATTTTACATTGCTCCTGAAATATAATTTTCAATTTTTGGCATTTGTGAATGCCTCTGTCAGTGTAAATTGTGTCTGTGGGAGTTGCCACTCACTGGTGTGGCTTCTGTGTGCTCTCTCTTTTCTCCATGTGCATGTGTGTAACCCCCCCACCTTACAAACCAAGAAGTGTTGATCTAGTCAAAATATCTGTGATCAGTTTAATCTCTGGCTGTGTATGCATGTGTATGTTTCTCTCCTTTGTGAGCAATGTCCTTGAGTTCCATTGTCCCCTCTCCTTCTTCACCCCCTTTGTGTGTGTCTCTGTCTCCATGCACACACGTTGGGCTGCAGGGAAACCTGTTTTATTCCCCCCCATCTATTATTCCATACTAGTGCTATGCCAGATTGCAAGATATAAAAAATAATAATTAAAAATAATGCCAACAGCAGCTAGTGGCTGGGAGACGCAGCCAGTGTGAGGGCAGGCAAGTGCAGGACAAAGCCTCAGAATGCATCAGTTGTACAAACCCATGTATTCTCTTCAACGATATACAACACAGATTAAAACTTTTCCCAAGGAATGCACACACCAACCCCAAAAATCACATGACTTCCACATGACTTAATTTTTTTAAAAAAAGATCCATCACTTGATTTACTTCAATAGTTTAACCACATCTTAAGTCAAAAACACGATCGTAAGAATAAAATTTGGGCATGCATGTTCTTGAGAATTTATTGCATGTGGTGGTGCCAAGAAATAATTTTTTAAAAATCCTAACTATTGATATTTTAAAAGTTGATTTTGTTTAAGCATTACTGCTGTGATTGAAATCTGCTGATTTCCAAGTACCTTTGCTGGTAGAAAAATGCAGATAATTTATTGGACTAAACATGCCTTTTAGTAAAACAGGAATAGCTGATACAAAGTAAATTGTGTTTTGTTTTTGCTTCTTTTTCCCCTCCACTCTCCTCTCACCCTAATTTAAAAAAATATTTAGGAATGATTTGCTAATGGTATGTCGCCAACTAAACATGGAGGAGTCTGTGGCTGAGATAATGCATCAACTTGGTGCTGATGAAAATGGGAAGATCTCCTTCCAGGAATTTACACGATGTCGTATGCAGCTCGTGCGAGAGATCAGGAAGGAAGAAGTGGAACTCTCAGTGAAATCAGATGATTCGTGTAAGAAGAAAACAATAAGGGAAAGAATAGCCTCCTGGCCAACAAGCAGTGATAACAGTTTGGGTAAGTGTGCTTTCTTCGTGATTCTAGTGTTTCATGCATCATCCTAATATGTGGAGATACTAAATTTATACGTAATTTTCTTGAACCCATGTTTATAGACATATGTTACTTTACGCTAAGGAAAACATTGCAAATTGCAGTTTCCTACTTCTGTTAAACATGTCAAAACTCTGTTTTTCACACATTACACTAAACACAGGAGTATCTTTATGGTCCTCTATTTATGGGAGTCTATGTTTGGGAAAATGTTTGGTGTGGCCATCAGCATAGTAATTTTGCTCCTCTAAGGCACTTAGTTCCCACTGTTACTGTAGTTTGTTATATTTTCACATTTATGATACTGGGAAGTAACAGGAGCCTGCTCTTATCCACAACATGGAGAAATGGGAGAAAGAAGACTAAGCTGCAGTGGACCTTCAACCTACGGAATTAATTCGTATTGGAACGGGGTCCGTAGGTCGAAAAGTCCGTAGGTCGAAAATGCATTCCCCATAGAAAACCATTTAATCTGTACCCGGCCCAAAAAAATGCACCCCTCCCACAGAAAAAAAATTTAAAAAGGGAACTTACTTTCCAAAGTCTTCCAGGGGTCCCCCGCCACCATCATTGCCGCTGCTGGAGGACTCCGAGGGCTTCGGTGCTGCTGCCAGAGGCCTGTCGGAGCTCCCCTGCCGCTGCCATCGCCGCTGCTGGAGGACACCAAGGGCTTTGGCGCCACTGCCGGAGGCTTCTCGGAGCTCCCCCACCGACGCAGGCTTTCCCAGGGTGGACCGGGAACTATACAACTAATGCAACTAATGTGTATTCGTCTTTCCTGGGCAGTAGACTAGGCCTACAGGGGAAAGTCCTCCCCTGGTAGGCCCGGTCCACCCTGGGAAAGCCTGTGTCGGTGGGGGGGACCTCTGGAGGCCCTCTCGGAAGCCCCCCCCCCGCTGATAGTGCCTCTGAAGCACTATCGGCGGTGGGGGGACCTCCGAGATGCCTCCCATGACGGAAGAGAGGCCCTGGAAGGCATCTGGAGGTCCACCGCTGTGAGCTGCGCCACGCTGTGCGATCCCGGTCATGCTTGGACTCCTGGGAGTCTGAGCATGGCTGGGATCACCCGGCGCGGCTCAGCTCCAGCAGCACGGGACCTCCGGATGTCTTCCAGGGCTTCTCCGGTGCCATGGGAGGCTTCTCAGAGGTCCCCCCCACCGCCAATAGTGCCTCCAAAGCACTATCGGTGGTGGGGGTGGACCTCCGAGATGCCTTGTAGTCCTCCGAAGCCCTTGGAGTCCTCCGGCGGAGAAGGCCTGGAAGGCATCCGGAGGCAGATCCGCGGCCTGCGGACTAGAAAGGGAGGCAGGGAAAGTGCCAAATTTGAATTTGGCGCTTTTCCCACCTCCCTCTTCTGGTCTGTAGGTAGATTCTCCGGCCACAAGTCGAAGTGAAACTTTGCGGCCGGAGAAGTACGGATCTTGACAACTTCGTAAGTGGAGCCGACCGTAAATTGAGACTCCACTGTACATTTAATCCAGAGACTTTTTCACATAATGTGCAGATCCACCCTCAATAGTTGTCATCTGGTTGGGTACTTTGATTCCTAATATGGTTTTCATATTGCACCACAAAAAATCTTGCTTTTCTCTGTCACTTCGCTTAAATGTGGTAATATGTTAAGGCCTGTTAGAAATAATCATGGTTTCATATATCATATAGTTTTTTAGAAATGTTAATAAAAGCTCTTTATAAGGCAAGTTCTTAATTTGATTTGTAGAATATACATTAGTCGTATTTTACTGACTAATGTGATCATACTGCCACTTTAACTTTTAAAGGTCAAAATAATAACAAATCGGATCCTGGGCACTCATATGGTTACTCTTAATTGTTTTATAAATACAGCTGAAGTCAGGGGATATCAAAATGCTTTGATATAAGTCAACTTGATAGATATACTTTTTTTCATGTCAGAACTCCATTCATAAAAATTGGTGTCTTAGAACGCCTGTTTGCAACTGTCTGCCCTATTATCCTTTGGCTCTTTCGTATTAGCTATCCCTACAGAGTCTTTAACAGTTGGAGAGACTGCAAGAATAATTAAAACACCACTAAACACAGATAATCTATAGATAATCAGAAAATGTATCCAGGAAAATCCAGGATAGTGGTGGTTTTCATGGAAGTCTGACTTAATAAAGATATTGAAGAGCCCCGGGCCCAGGACAGAGCCTTGGGGAACCCCACTTGTGACCTCCTCCCAGTTAGAGAAGAGCCCGTTAATCATCACCCTCTGAGTATGATTTTGTAGCCAACTGTGTATCCACCTGACACTTGATCTATCCAGCCCACACCTAGTTAGTTTGCTAATCAGGATATCATGGGGCACTTTGTCAAAAGTTTTGCTGAAGTCAAGATATACTACGTCTACGGCATTCCCTCTGTTTATCAAGAAGGTTACTTTTTCAAAAACAGAAAATCAGATTAGTTTGGCAGGATTTGTTCTTGACAAATCCATGTTGGCTTCTAGTTATTACTGCCTTGTTTTCTAGGTGCTTGCACATTGACCACTTTACGATCTGTTCTAGAATTTTGCTTGGGATTGATGTCAGGCTGACTGGCCTGTAGTTCCCAGGTTTCTCTTTGTTGCCCTTTTGAAGATAGGGACAACATTAGCCCTCTTCCAGTCCTCTGGTACCTCCCGTTTCCTATGATTTCAAAAAAATAATGGATAGTGGTTCCGAGAGTTCTTCAGCCAGTTCCTGCAGTACTCTCGGATGCAGTTCATCCGGCCCTGGAGATTTGAACTTGTTCAAGGTGGTAAGGTATTCCTTGACTATTTGTTTATCTATCTCCAGCTGCAATCCTGTCCTCCCCCCCAGACTTGCACTTCCAATTTGTTTGGAAGTTCATAGTCTGTCTTATGGGCAAAGATGGAACTAAAATAGGAATTGAGCACCTCTGCCTTTTCTTTGTCTTGTTATCATTTTTCCATCTCCATTGTGGAGCCATGCCACTATGTATTTTGTTTGTCTTTTGCTACTCACAGACCTGAAGAATATTTTTTTTATTGCTTTTAGTATCCCTAGCTAACCTCTGCTCATTCTCAGCTTTTGCCCTCCTAATGCCATCCCTGCATTTCCTTACTACTAGGCTGTACTCATCCTTGGTGGCCTGGCCTTCTTTCCACTTCATGTACATGTCTTTTTTGGTTTTTAGGTCCTCCCTGAGCTTTTTGTGAAGCCACACTGGTCTTTTTTGCCGCCTCCCCCCCCTTTTTTTTTCTTGTTGGAATTGTTTGTAGTTGTGCCTTTAGAATGTATTTATTTGAGAAGCTCCCATCCTTCTCGGCTTCTTTTTCTTGTTAGGATCTCTGCCACGTGACCTTACTTATCCTTCTTCTGAGATTATTAAAATTGATTTAATAAAAATCCAGCAGACGTGTGTGGCTCCACTCTGCTTTCATTTCCTTTGAAATCAAGAATTCTAGAAGGTCGTAGGGTGGCCACTTGGGTTCCTACTGTATGTTATAGGAAGCCAGCCTATATTGGATTAGGTTACACTTGAAAACTCTGAGGTGGCGACTCATTGAATATATTTGTTTTCAGCTGCTCTGCTTCAGTGTAAGATATTGCCAGCTCTGCTTCTCCCACCTATTTTTTCTTAGATTCATATCATTTCTTCTTTCTAATGTAAACTGTGCTTCCATCGTCAGCTACAGCAGGAGTGGAGGAGTTTGGCCCTATGAATGTTACTGGATTGCAGTTTAAGTATTCTACACCATTTGGCATTCAAGTGTGAAACAGCCTGTCTCTGCGTGGAAGAAAGAAAATTCTATCCTTGTGAATTTTCGTTCTTTTTAATAGGAATATACTCTTGCCATCTCTCTCTGAGCCCTCTGTGTCCCACTCTGAATGAAATTTTAAGGATGTAGAGAAAGTTCCCAGTGCCACTGATTGGAACTGCTTCTGTCAGTGGAATGACATTTTTGGATCCTGGCCTCATAAAGCTATGGTATAGTCTATTAATGTATTTTTCCTGGATCCCTGTTAAAATATTAATGCTGTATATGTAAAAATATGACTTGAGGAAATATTGCATTTTGCACTATGAAAATGCTTTAAAATATAGAGGTGCATGTTAAATTGGGACAATATTTTACACTCTCATACTTCCTTCATTAGTAGATTAATACTGTTAAAAACATTATTTTGATAAAAATCTTAGCCTTTGGCTACACGTATGATGTGAAACAATGGTTGAAATCATGTTATTTAACATAGTGAGTCATATTAGAGAAGGGCCATTGAATCAGAGTCAGCTTCCCCATAAACTCAATTAATTCAAATGGGCCTACTCTAGTTGTGATGTACTACTCTAAAGTAAGTCACAGCTAGAGTAAGCCCATTTGAATCAATGAAACTTACCAAAGAATTGATTCACCAAATCCCTACTGATTCAATGCTTCTACTCTAGGGTAGCTTACAATTCTAAGCAACAGGATTTCAGCCATAAGTTTTACAGTTTCCATTTAACTCAGAAGGGCAGGTAATTATTTTTCTTGCCCTGCAGGAGGCTCTGTGAATGTCTAATATTGTTGAAGATGTCTGGAAGTAGCTTCAGTTACACTGAAGAAGACATGTTTCTTTACATGGGGAAGATCAGAAAGAGAAAAAAGATCTCAGGTTTTCTAGATGGCTTTTTACTTGCTCTGACCTGTGCTGACTGTGTTTCCCTGAAAATAAGACAGGATCTTATATTAATGTTTGCTCCAAAAGATGCATTAGGGCTTATTTTCAGGGGATGTTTTATTTTACAGTCATGTCATCTTCTGGTTGCTGCACAATGTGGCACAATGGTGGAGGAGTGGGGTTACACTTAACTGGAGCTTATTTTTGGCGTTCCCTAGTCACGCTGGCCACATGACAACGGAAACTGTCTTTGGACAAGCGCTGGCTCTACGGCTTGAAAAACGGGATGAGCACCGCCCCCTGGAGTCAGACACGACTGGACTAAAATGT